TATTCCTATTTCAAAATTTTCGATAACAAGTTAACTTTAAAAATTCGTCGACGATTGTACGATAGTCAAATCGGTTAATGTTTACATTCTCTCGAAACTCATTTTGAGAACTATATCGTAGAGATATCGAATGATCTAAGTACATATCGAAAATAGTTAAACGGAGATTAAACGTATGTGTTAAAAATGCATTTTTTAAAAAAATTTATTTCTTTTTTCTTTTTAATTCTTTTTTGTTTGACGTCAAATTTGTTTTTTTTTTTTTGGTTTTAACGTAAAATTTTTTAATAATCATTCTTTTATGCAAAAAATTGTATTAGATTATTTTAAAAATTAATTTATCAAGAAGAAAAAGTAACAATAAGAAAAAAAATTCCTAAAAATTATCGAATTTTTTTTATATATAATTTTTTTTTAGATGTTAAAATAATTAAGATGAAAAATTTGTTGGCTCAATTTCTTGTTGCTATAATTCAAATGTATTTTTTCAAACATTATTATTTTAGTCTAAGTGATTATTTTATTTATAAATGACGTATTTGATAATACTATATTCAATATAAGTAAGTCGTTTAATTAATCGAATCATTTTTTTATTGTCGAATATCTAATTGATATAATTAAATCGTTTAATTAATCGAATCAATTTTTTATTGTTTGCAATCTCCATTTGTTTCCTTATTTAATATGTTAATATCTCCTTTTATAAAATTCAAGATATGCATTGCATGGTACAAGACTAGTATCAACAAAAGGCTGAGATGTGTGATTTTACGGAAATGAAAGCCACACACAGAATTTGGGTATTCCAAGACAACAACAAAATTTGAATAGAAAAGGATTTCAAATGTGAAATGGCGACCACGTGACCTTTGTCGGAACAAATTTCTTCCCATACTAATCATTTCACAATAACTAATATTGCGTTGTTCATTCAACTTTCAAGATTTCAATAGTCAATAATTTTGAGTTGAAAAGATGGACTAATTTCAATTATATACCCACACACATATATATTATAGAGTTATGCTACACTTATAAAAGTGGTAGACAAAATTGGATGACAAAATCACATCTACATCAATCATTTTAAAAATAGATTTTTAAATCATCTGAAATCAATGGCCTAAATTTTGCCAACACACTTTTTAACTCAACTTTTGTAATCCAACTTTGTACAAGTAGCTTTATTGTATATTATATACTGATGATGGGTGCAGCAAAATCATCATATCGTTGCTACATGTAAGCACCATATACATTAGTTTTGACAGCCATATCACATATAGGGAGTAGGGTCCATGATTATTTTAATCGCAGACTCCACCTTCGGGAGAGGGCTGTAAAAATTTACAACATTTATATGTTGTACAAACGGCATTTCCGTAAAAATAATTGGAACTTGGAGCCCGTGATTTTTCAAACTAATGGATTTTGCGGATTGCGGTGCAGTAATTATTATTTTTTATTTTTTTAAAATAATGCCAAGGGAAATTTGATAGGAGCAAACACTTGGCATTTATTTAATGAAAGATGGAATTTTTTTTAAAGAAACAGGCGAATTACAGTTCGCCACATCAACTCTATCAATACATTAGTTTTGACAGCCATATCACATATAGGGAGTAGGGTCCATGATTATTTTAATCGCAGACTCCACCTTCGGGAGAGGGCTGTAAAAATTTACAACATTTATATGTTGTACAAACGGCATTTCCGTAAAAATAATTGGAACTTGGAGCCCGTGATTTTTCAAACTAATGGATTTTGCGGATTGCGGTGCAGTAATTATTATTTTTTATTTTTTTAAAATAATGCGAAGGGAAATTTGATAGGAGCAAACACTTGGCATTTATTTACTGAAAGATGGAATTTTTTTTAAAGAAACAGGCGAATTACAGTTCGCCACATCAACTCTATCAATATTTCCTATTAAATTTCATTGCTTGAGTGGCTTAAATCTTCTTCTTCCTCCTCTTTTTTTTTTTTTTTTTTAAATTCATTTTCTGTTATTTCTTTTTAAAGGTTTTTTCAATTCATGCGGTGTGACTCCCGATGAATATGACGATCAATGGACATCACATAGCAAATAATTTTTTTTAAATAATAATATCTATTTGGAATCTTTATTTTTTACTTTTTTTTTTATTTTAAAGAAATATCTCATCTTTTATCTGACATATTTTTTCATATGCCAATGACCAAAAATAGAAATACAATTTAAATAATTTAAGAAATAGTGTGTTGAAATATGATATTTATTAAATAAAACCATTATAAAATAAGAATTTAGGAAACAAGTTTGACTCTTTGTTTTAAAAAATTAAATACAGAATCTCTCTAAACTTATTTTAGTACATTGATTATCAAACATAAAAAAAATATCTCGTGTTTAGAGTCTGTTGAAAATGTGCAATAATTGAGGAACATATTAATAAACCTCATTACCTTTTAAGGGTATGTTTGATTCACTTTCAATTCCATGGACCATTTTCCACTTTTGTTGGTGTTTGATAGGCATTTTTTCTTGGCAATTGGAATTCCATTTTTGCTTCACATGGTGACCATTTCTTGTTTTTCATTGAATTTGTTTTTCCACCTATATGGTGAGAAATGGAATTTCAGGGTTTTTTTTTTTTTTTTTTGGTTGGCAATGAAAACAAATTCTAAGTATTATTGTAAAAAAAAATATTTCCTTTTAATTGACAATTTTCATGTAAAACAAAGTCAAACGAATACCAAAAGATAGATAAATTTCTTCAATTTTATCTTTTTTTTGGGCAATGGAAATAAATTTCATTCTCAATACTAGTAAATTCTATCCCTTTAATTGACAATTTTCATGTAAAATAAAGCCAAGCGAACACTACTTTTAATTTCAACATTTTTCATGTGAAAAATTATACCAATCAAACACAATAATTTATAATTCCCAATAAAATATTTTTTAGGCAATTCAATTTCTCGAAATTCGTTTTTAATTCAATTTAATTCTATCTTTACAATCAAACGAACATTTATTTTATTGGATTCACGAGTGTTGCCCGCTTTTCAAATTAAATTTTTATGTCCCATTATCTGACATTCAAATCAGTTTGATTTAGTTCAAACTATATCGTTTAGCCCCGTTTGGTTTAGATTAAAAAAAAAAATAATGAAATTTTTAGTAATTTTTAATAAAAGTTGATGAAATATGTGATGAAAAAGTTGTGGATTCCATTAAAAGTATGACTTAGATTTAAATTTTAATTCAATTTTCAGCTGGACCAAACAGGGACTTAGACGTGTTACAGGTGTACAGTAAGCACCTCTGCAGTCTCTATCTCTACAACCAGCTGTCCTCTGTCTCACCATATTATTACCCATTCTTCTCTCTCTCATCCTCTCCACTCGCTCGCTGGCTCACTCACTCACTCATGGATCTCACTTCACTCTGCTTTTCTTCTTCACTGCCGAAGATGCTTCTTCTTATTCTTCTTCTTTCAGGTAATGAACGCTATTTACCCACCTAAATTTTACATTTACACTGCCAAAATCTTATTCTCTTCTGTTAATCACTTGCAGTTTCATTGTTCCCAAATTGGGTGTCTTCACTTGGCATCAACTACGGCCAAATTGCCAACAATCTTCCCACCCCTGACGCTGTAGTTCCGTTGGTGAAATCCATCGGCGCCTCCAGGGTCAAGCTCTATGATGCAGATCCACGCGTTCTCAAGGCCTTTGCCAACACTGGCGTCGAGTTCATTGTTGGCCTTGGCAATGAGTACTTGGCTAAAATGAGAGACCCCAAACAAGCTCAAGATTGGGTTAAAATCAATGTTCAGTGTCATTTACCTGCCACAAAAATTTCATGCATTGCAGTTGGTAATGAAGTTCTTACTTTCAATGACTCTGTTCTATCGTCGAATCTTCTCCCAGCTATGGAAAATGTCCACACCGCCTTGGTGAACCTTAATCTCGATAAACAAGTTGTTGTCACTACAGCTCACAATCTGGGCATTCTTGAAAATTCTTATCCTCCCTCTTCAGGATCATTTCGTAAAGATCTAACTCAAAGATTGACTTGTATCTTGGATTTCCACTCCAAAACGGGCTCGCCATTTTTAATCAACGCCTATCCTTATTTCGCATACAAGTCGAATCCCAAACAAGTACCCATTGATTTTGTATTATTCGAGTCTGATTCTGGGATTACGGACGCGCTATCGGGCCTGCATTATGGGAACATGTTCCATGCCCAAATTGATGCAGTGCATTCTGCTATGGAGAAACTTGGCTACAAAAAAGTATGCCTACAGATCTCGGAGACGGGGTGGCCGTCGAAGGGGGATGCGGACGAGGCAGGGGCCACGCTGGATAATGCCAAGAAGTACAATGCGAATTTGCTGAAGCTGATTTCAGAGAAAAAGGGTACACCAATGAGGCCCAATTTGAATTTGAACATATATGTGTTTGCTTTGTTCAATGAGAACATGAAGCCCGGTCCAAGTTCCGAGAGAAATTTCGGGCTTTTCAAGCCCGATGGAACGCCAGCGTATAATCTTGGTTTCAATGCCACAAGTTTGGTGGGTTCGAATACGACGACGAGCTCAGGTGGTGTCGCCGGCATTTCGCCAGAGTCGGGGTTTTCGCCGCCGGGAAGTTCTTCCAACGGCTACTTGTCCATCAGTTCTGACACGGTGAGTTTTGCAATTATTACTTTTGCTTTTATTACTTCACTGCGCTTATCGTTCCGTCTAATGTGCGCGGCGGGTCAGGTTGGCATAGTGGGGTGGAACGTAGGATAACAGCTATGGTGCGCAGGATATCAAAGGAGAGTATTAGGGTTAACATGGTGGGGCCCAATTGGCAAACACTTTTGGTTCACACGTGGCGGCATGTATGTGATTTTAATCGGGTTAAAGGTTATTTTCGAAACTGTGAAAGTAGTGAAAAATCAAATTACATAGGCAACGGTCACATTCATTGATCCTTTTGGGATAAACCCATTGTGAATCTTTAGTTTTCGAGCGTATTACTTCCGTCTTGTTTCCATTTTCACGTAGGTTAAGAAAACTAACATATGCTGGAACTATAAATTTTACTTATATTTTTTCTAATATATTACTACATTGAAAAATGGTAGCTCATATTTGTTGATAACAAATAGATTAAATAGGAATATATTAGAAAATTAAGACACTAATTATACTCTGAAGAGGGAAGGTGACCTATAATTTGGAACAAGCAAGAAAGGAAACAAGACTTGTTGTGGGACAGAGGTAATAGTACAAGTTCATGTGTATTGAAGAAAAGTTTTGATGTTTTAAAAAATTGAAAATTCACCCCCAATTTACGAAAACTAAACATGGATAGTTTCTTTTTAAAACATCAATTGCCTTTGATTGGAAGGATTTGGTGATAAGGAAAGATCAATCCGCGCTCTCTTATCGAATTGCTTGTTCAATTTCAGATTTGTATAGTTCTTATATTAGGAATATTCGGAGTTAGATCATAGTATTTTCTTGCACTGCCTGATGAAAGAGTACCTCCTGGCCATCGGTAATACCTGAAGGAGGAGCTATTCATGATACTATGCAATTTGTGCGATCAGATGTCCATACCTTTGGGCAATGTCCAATTTACTTCCCTAATGATAAAAAATTCTGACTTGTGCATTCGAAATGTAGTGTAAAATGTGTAAAAAGATATAAATTGATACTGTTTTGGCGTCTTAATCGCAGGAGCGACTTCTTGTGCAAGGGACATTATCATTTTGGTGCAAGTTGGTTTCACCTATTATTGCATTTCTACTTTATTAGCCGATGTTTTGGAGGATTCAGAGGGCAATGTCCAGTTTCAACCAAGTGGGGTAAAGTGAATAAAAGGGAGTTAGGAAAAGGTGAATTTCTGTTCCTTTGCACTTATATGATAATAATGTTAATTTCTTTCATTGCTTAAAATCACAGAAAAGTGCATCAACACCAATTTCCACCGAAGATCTATGCTTGGCCCTCTTCTGTTTGATGCTGGCTGCCAATCCTTGTGATGTTTATGTTCATATGGCTGTGTTTAGTCTTAGCGATTTCTTAATTATGCTTTTGGGAAAAGGTAGCCAGATTATCCATATGCATACATGGAGCCATTTATTATAATGATTTTGATTGTATGTATTAATTAATTAGTACTTTGTGCAAGGAATCGGGATCTTAGGAGTTTGCGATCATTTTGTCCACAATTACAATTATTATGTTGAAGATATGACAAAAAAACCTTATGAGACAGTACCTTGAAAGTTGAAAAGGTTCCGCGACATCTTTACGTCGGACCGAAAGTTCTCTCATCTGTTGCTTTTCTGAAAGATGCAAAGTATGATGAAAATGGGTTTTGGAACGATAAATAGTTGCTATTCCATTTATTTCTTGTATGAATTTCTAAAAATTATTCGACTAAATCATTCGAAATGAGTTGGTATGAGCAAGTTCATGGATTAGAAAACACAAACAATGTGCTAAATTCTTGAATTGGCTTTGAACCAATTTCGTGTTTATAAATCTATCTTCCAAGCAAATTATAGTGCGATGCGATTTTCATCATTTTAATAGTCAGTATTTTGCAGATAATGTATGCGACAAAAAATTTTCAATATCAAACTAAAATCTTCTTTATTATATTAACAGAACAACAGGTTTTCTCTGGATGGTACTAGACAAATTTATCAAAGAGAGTTAAAATCTTGATTATTGTACTGTCCAATTCCATCGACCCATGTCACACATGCACTAAGGGATAAAATATGATCGAGTTGAAGTTATCATGCCATAGGTAAATACTAAATACTCTTTATCGACAAAGTGCCTCAAGCAGCCATGCTTCCTAAGAGTATCTAGTTATCATCCAAAAATTTTCTACAAAATAAATAATGGCCTCCCAATAAAATAATGCCCATCTCTCTTGGCAGCCACAATCTTATCCTAGGTTAAACCTGCTCTGCTACTGCAAAACCAGAAAACTGATTTATATCCTTCCTGTTGTCTGCATCAAAGCCTAATTCCATCAAGATTGCAAATATGGTGCAAGAACACCTTGCCCCATTGTCAAAACTCCAATTATGGCATAGTTTAAGAAAATACCAAAGCATCAGAACCATGCAATTCAAAAAGGATAGGTTACCATCAAGATAGCATTCAACAAGCCCCATGACTTTGCGATGTTTCACCCACCGTTCCATTCGTTTGACATTTAACTCTCCGGTAAAACAATACATAAGCAGCAGATGTCTTGATTTCAGACTCACTGACAGGTGAAACATGAGCATCATCGAAATGATACCATCTATTGTCATCAATTAACTGCAATAAGAGGGGAAAAAAAATTTTGATGTATACAGACCATAGAGAGATTTAAGGGAGTATGATTTACTTCACAGATGTTCCAAGCAGTATGTCAACTAAAAAACTACAGAATCATCCTTATCTTATTCAAACAGGTCAGCAACACCTTCTCAGCAAGTTTGAAATTTATAATTCAACAGCTACCGTGCATGTTTGCAATACAATACACTGTAAGCACTTAATAAGCAGCAAGATATTTTAGATAACTTCTACACAATTCCAGTTGATTTTACCGTTTGGGTAAAAGATGGCCAATAGGAGATGCCATTTGCTTAAATTACCAAACCTTTTCCTATGAACTGTATCTCTTATCTTAGGTAAAAGATGGTAATTTAAAAACTCCATTTGCTTAGGTTACCAACACCTTATACAACTCTCTCTCTCTCTCTCTCTCACACACACACACACACAAAAACACATAAATTACTCCTAATCCTAATCTCTACCCAGATCAGAATCAAACTTAACCCACAAACATGATAATGGCAAGATAAATGGTTAGGGCAAAACTTCCAAAAAAAGGCTTAATGTGGATCCACATTGAACTCTCCAATCCCTTTTGAACCTATAGAATAAACAACCCATTGGTCCAGAAACATTATTAAATAACTCATCTTAAACAACCCAACCCACTCATTAACCACCCTTGTGAAAAAAAAATAAGGACGAATGCTAAGTAAATAATTACCTTACAATACGCAGAATAGTGACCACCCCCAAGGCCCCCATAATGATTGCTAATGGCATATAGCTCGTACACATGTGAACCTTCGGATGCATCATTGCTCTTCACATATTTGCTTAAATCCAGATTATAGATGGGAAAATTCACAAAAGTGTCCAGTTTGTTCTTCAGCCATCGGCTATATGAGAATCGCTTCAAGTGAAAAACAAGTACATCTGGCAACCTCCATAAATCCAATTTTTTAGTTGCTTGCCTATGTTCTTTGCACCGGGGACAATACCTGCAGCAATTGTTTAAGAATTTTATGGAAACATCAATAATCCAAACAGAAGTTTACATAAAACAACTATGATGCACCGATATGGACGTGTGTGTCCGACACGATACGAGTCGGATACGTCGACTCGTGATTTTTCAAAAGAGTATTGGCACGACACGTCGTTGACACGCTACTTTAGTTAGAGTGCCCGTGCTACAGAGGAAAACAAGATAGTTCAATGTATGTTCTACAATACCACATATCATCAGGGCCTAGAGGTTCCTCTTTTAGAAAGGCATCCAAGCAGGAAAACAAAGAGATGGCTTCCTGCTTGGTTTTCTTAGCTGCAACTCCTGTCTTGTGAACTTCAGGAAGATCCCTGAGAAAGCTGGCATCATATAACTCATGTTCTTTGTCAGTCCACTCTAGGATGACTTTCACCAAACCGCCAGGTTTTATTGGTGACTCCTTCACAATTGGCCTGAAACTTAAACCTCGATCGTTGGCGAGGAAAAGCCGTAATGACAACTCACTGATGGACTTTCCTTCCAGTTCTCTGTCACCTGCTGATTGGATCCCAGGTCTCAACACAGTGCTACTGCAGTCATTTCTCTCTCCTGGTGCATCTAAGGCATAGCCATTTTCCTGCCCACTATGAACTGGTGCTGGAGAGAAAAATGCTTTCCTTCGTAATGGGGAAAGCATTCTGTTAACAGCAAGCTCGATATCAGCTCCACATTGCAGATCTTCCAACGAAGTAACTAATGGTGTCAGAAATAGCTTCCTATTGCTGGAGAAAAAAGATGTATCTTAGATTACAGGGTTTATTCAAGGGGAACTAAGTTAACAAATTATTTGGCACATATCAGATATTTATTCATAACCACTTTGTGTGGAGAAATTTTCCAGCAATATTGTTTTTTCATGACACTGTAAAAGATTATAAATAGGTCCACACTCATCCACAACCGCCATAATTTTACATGCAAAATAGAGTATTCTTGTTCAGCACAGTCTAAAGCCACTGCTAGGAGCCTAGGACTACACCCGGAATTCACCCCTCCATCTTCAATTTGAATATTTTTTTACAACAAATCAAAAATAAACTTGTGATTTGAATATATCATTAACGTAAAATACTCTGTAACAATAAGAAAAACCAAAGATCCCATATTTTCTTCTAAAATATGTAGCCAGCCATAACAAAGATGCCTCTTTTGTACCACAAAAACTAGATCTTTTGCAATTACACATACAATCCTTCCACGTGGAGGAAAAAACTCACCTTTCATCATGTCGGTGACATATCTCTAGTCTTGTTACCTCTGCTCCACGTTTAGGGAGTCTGTAAGCAACAATATGTTCATCATCCTTTATTGAAATCAATGCTTCTGATGGATTTTCCAGGTACTTATATATCCGATTTTCATAGACCTGCAGATTGAAATTTCACTGCTTCAGATGAACAAGCAAAAAACCGCATACAATCATGGACAAAATAGGAAATGTACAAAACCTTACCTCTGCAAGGAGCAGATATTCATCACTTTGTAAGCAACATGCAGCGCTTACAGCCTGGATAAGATCTTTGCAGCATCCTTGCTTCAGGACAGTAACGGTGAATGGTATAGGAAGGCCACTTCCATTGCCATAAAACATTGTTACTGTCATTGTCCGAGTGGCTACTGAAGGAAGAGGCAAGGACAGGTACATGAAAGGATCAAATGTTATTGAGATTTTGCAGCAAACTGGGCAGACCAGTGTCGATTTGTATTGGCCCTGAGAAATTCCATCAATTTAAAATACTATAATAAAGATGGTCTAGAGAAATGCCAAAGGTGCAATGTACTTACAAGCGAATTTATCAGAATAAAAAATTCAAAGTCATTAATTCAAAGTCATTATGTAGAAGAAAACTGTTGGAATTCATATAAGAAAACTGTTGGAATTCATATATATTGTAAGCATCTTCCAGGCCAAAACAAAATTTCTTAAGACAATGGAAGAATGATGAAGACCTGACAAAATAAAATTTTTTGATGGAACTATCTGAGGCTGCCTCAATATTCAGGTGTTGAAGGTACATGAATTGCATGAGAGGCTCAAGTTAATGTGATTATACAAGGATATTTTGATCTAAGTTCATAAGATTCAGAAATTCAAACTGTATTTAGTATTTCTCAAGCAGGGGTGGAACGAGGAATTGGCCTTAGCGAGGGACAAAATTTAACTATGACTTTTCTTTTTCAAATAACACAATAATTTAATAATAACAAATATCTTACAGCTTCCTAAGATTGTTCCTTATTGGTTTTCATACTTTGAATATTCCATATGATAACTTCATTATCAATTTCCTAAAACACATTTTTTACAATATATACAACCTAACTGTCATTTCCTCACTACATTTATTTCTTTACAACTTTTTAAGTGTGTCGAATTAGATGTGTACTTATCTAGGCTCAGGACTCTACAGTCGAGCTAAATAAGACGTATGGCAAATCAAGTCGTGCTACCTAAAAACTAAGCAACACAATCAATTATTTACAAAATAACTAAAACTTCTATTATTCTTTAATCATGTTCAAATGTATTTCAGGTATAAAAATACCTTAAACTATGGCGTGGGAAATAAGAAATACAATGTTTTATACTACTACTCTAGTCAAGATAGTCAAATAAAATAAAATAAAACTAAGAGAAAAAAAGTAAATGTGTGCCAAGCAAGTGAAAACTGAAGAATGAAAAAGAAAAAAAAGAACGCCGTGAATAAGTCTTAGTCCTTGGTTTCATCTCCTTATTCAATTAAGATAGACTAATAGTGATAGAAGAAAGTAGAGTGTGAAAAGCAACAAATGAAAAACAAGAGAGAGAAAAAAAAAATAACGCTTGAAAAAAAAAAAAAAAATAGAGAGGAAGAAAAGCTGGAAAAGAAAAGAGAGAAAGCCGCAGCATAAACCTAACCATTTTAATTGCTGAGTTATAACAAAAGGTAAGAACAAATTAAAAAAATATGAAATTCACAAAACTGCGTGTGCATATGCATAGTGAGGGTATAAAGGAAAAGGAAAAATAGCTTTCAAATTGCAGATGACCATGCATGCCTTTTAATTTCTTTTCATTTTCTTGTTAGTGAAATAGCCAAAACCAAACTGAACCAATTTTTTTGGTCCAAATCCAGAGAGGACAGGAGCCTAACTGGATCTCAGGTGACTCCGCCATTGTTCTCAAGCTCATACAGTTTAGTTATACAAGTATATAGACTCTACTTAGTAATGTCATTTCACAAACTTGCAGACAATTCAACATTTAGAATATATAGGAACAAGATGCCGACCTGGCAAACGTCAACAATTACAGAGTCATTTCGGGCCTTGTGGTATCTCCAAAACTCTTCTGCAACTTCATCATCAGGCTGACCATCAGAATCCTTTGTTTCAAAGTATGGTTTCTGCTTAACACGGTTTAAATCTTCGTGCAGCCCATCAAGTAAAAAGGCAAGAAGCTCCTGAGAGAAATATACTTCCTCCTTTTAGTCAACTAAAAGTTAAATTTGCTCAATGACAATTAGAGCATACCATCTTCAACAGCATATAAGATAGACAAGAAACAAAAGATACCAATTCTACTTCATGTCACTTCATATAATTCCACCTTATTTGAAGCATTATTTTTGCAAAACCTCTTGTTATCAAAAATAGAATATAACTTGAACACAGTGTGTTTAGATTTACCTCGAAGGGTGATGACATCTAAAAAAACCACATCATAACTAGGAAAAAGACAATATGTTTAACCTTGACCAATATTATTATACTGCAGCAATAATCCGTTGGCCTTGAAAAGTATAAAATTTATTAGTAACAACTATCAACAGCCTCAATATGTTGTAAAACTTATGCAGTACTAATCGTAGATGTACTACAAATGTTCTAGTGAATTCACTATGAAATTAAACATTAATAAGACAGCAAATCCACTATGAAATTACTACAAATGTGTTATATATATCATAATTATAGCATCATGTCAAAATACTTGTTTCCCAATTGTACCATGTACGTAAAAAACAAACCTGTGAATCATGCTGGTTATACCCACTGAACTGGGGAGCAAAACGAGCAAGTTTTCCTTTAAAAGCTCGAGGAGCAACTGGAGTGCTACCAGAGGACCACAGTTTCCTCAACAACTCACCAAATGCAAGAGCAAGCTCACCCTGCAGAACTACAACAGACATTAGTAACCTAATAAGTAAACCACACCCTAAATCTGCCAAAATAGATCAGAACGGCCATTACATTCATTCCAAGAGGATTTTGTCTGTTGATTTCCTCACTGTAATCTTCCAAGAAATACTCAGCGAGGGGTGGTGTATGAACTAAACACTGGATAGAACTATTCATGAAGCAAGTGTTCCCCAGATTCTGCAATCCTGCCATACCTCCCTTCTCACCTCTCTGTATCGGTCTCAAGCTGTCATATCCATCCTCCATATCTCCAAATGTGGAGCTTAAATTACTTCGTTGATAGATTTTGGAGCCATAGCCAGTTGAATAACCATTTGACAAACTTGGGCCACCAGCAATTGTAACAGATGATGTTGGAGGTTCTACAGGAACCAATGCTAAACCATTTCCAGTTGAATCCATGTCAAACCCATCAACTAGCACCTCAAGAAGAATCTGCACAGAGAGAGAGAGAGAGAGAGAGAGAGAGAGAGAGAGAGAGAGAGAGAGAGAAACCCTTCAGAAAACAGAACAGTTTACAATCTTTTCAAAATAAAATAAAGGAAAAATGAAAATCAAAGATGAGGAAAAGAGGCACTAAACACGCATTTCTTAGAAAATTCATTAACGCAACCTTCAAGCAAGAGATTTACTGTAAAATAAACTACGGGCAAGATTTTATAGTTGCAACAGCTGCACAAGGGTTTAAAAGTACCAGATGGTCTGAGCTTTAGGCTATTCAAGCTCAAACTTGCATCATAAATGAGCCTAGAAAAGCTCAAGCTTCACCCAGATATTCTAGTCGATCTAAATGAGTTTCTGTTTAAGTGAAATTGAGCCAAGATCTAATTAATTCACGGAATACGCAATAATTATTAACCTGACGAGCCAAGCTCAAGTCGAGCTGATATAAATTGTAAGTTCAAAAATGAGGTCCAGCCTGGTTCGTTTCAACTGCCAAACATGAAGGAGACTCTATTTGGGTAAAAGCTTAAAAGGTTTACTTAATGAGTAAAATTCAAAATGAATAATTTTTGTTCATCAAAATTGAAGAGAGTGTAAGGTATTTATTTTGAGAGTAAGGTAAGAAAAACATAACTTGCCCCACATGTTTGGAATTAACTTTTACTTCATTTTAATCTTAGTGCTTAACTTAAAATGATACATAGAAATCAAAAAAGGGTCGCCAAAAATTACAAATATTTATTACGTGCAGCATCAGCTCACATAGATATTTTCTTTTCTTTTCTTTTTTATTCTTGGTACCTAGCTCACATTAGATGTTCATTATATGCATAAAAAGTAGAGAATTGTAATAACTCATACATCTCTTTTTTCTCCTGTAAATTATAAAGAATAGAAGAAATGATGATTGTAAGAAATCCACATATTTTAGAGCAGCAGTACGATATACTGCAAATGCATAAACTAGTTAGACATAGCCCTGTTAGGTAGAATGTTAGCAACAGAAATTGCTTTCATTCATCCAAATAATCATCCAATATAAAGAGTTTCCATTATCTTAAATTTGTGAACTCACATCTTGATCCATCTGCAAGTTAGATTCCTCCAGTGTTTGGTTTGAAGGGATCAAAACTGTATGCTTCCGCTTATTGAAAAAGTCCCAGATATGTGCCTGTTGGAATAAGTAATAAAAGAAAGGAAATTATAATCAGTTATATATAATTAAGATTAAAATAATAGTGAAAATATTGCAAGGACCACTAAGAAATCCACCTTTTCTTGGACTATCCCTTTAAGCTGACACACTCTCTCATATAGATCATGTAAAGAATCCTGACACAAAACATTGGAGAGAAGTTGCTCAGCCAAGGACCTTAAATACAACATTGAACGAAAAGGTGAAAAGGTTCCATAACAACAAAAAATTCAACAAAAAATTAAGACTGCTCCAAATAAATTTGGGTCACCTATATTAATCATTATTCGCCATTCCATTATGTTCATTGCTAGAATTATTAAGAACCTGAAGAAATTAGATCCTCAGCAACTACCACAGGACAAGTTACTTGTGGCCTACCCATCTCTCTTCTAACTTGCTTTATCAAATTGCATCATACTTGTGAAAGGCAACCTCTTTGGGTTGTCGCAACAAATTGTCCACCCACCAAAGTCTTCTTCCTTCCCTTCAATTATCTTCAACCAACGTCACCACCACTTATTAGCGTATATTCTCATTTGCCAAAAAGTCATTGTTTCAGGTATCTAGATTTGATTATTATCACTGTGCTTTTCTTTTATTCTTCAGCACAATAATTATACATGCTATTCTCTGGGTAATACATCTACCTCCACGTGTATGGATTTGTATGATGGTAAAGAAAATGACAAAGACTAGACTCAATTTTAGGATAACCACATCAACTAATAGTATTATGTGTATCCAAGTATAGCTATGTCATCACTGCACATCTCTGACAAACTCAACAGCATATTAGTACGGATAGTTTAACTGCTAGATTATGTGATAAGCTCATAAAGAACAAGGTTATAAATGCACACTAGAGAGTTATATTTATCCCTTATGCGCTCCATTTGCACCCTTAAAATGTGAAAGGAAACAATTACAGTAATATCAAGTAATTAACTTGTTAATGCAAAGAAAAACAACAGCAAACAAACATAAAATCTCAAACTAGGTAAAATGCAGCAGCCACAGAAAAAATGTTATTTTGTAAAGACTCCATTAACCCACAGTATAAGAATATAAAAAGAAACTAATGATCAGTAGGCAGAAGATGTACCTTTTTACTTGACCTTATAATCACTTCACTCTTGTCTCTGGAATCTATTAAACAGAGACACAGAGGGAAAACCTCCACACTGAACTGCTTATGTTGTTCTCCCTGAGAAATCATTTTCCGAGGCAATGGTGGCCCTCCTTTGTACCTAAGAACCATCAAGATACAAAAATTAAAAATTAAAAATTAAAAATTAAATAAACCAAGTTGAAAGCATAAGACTTGAGTCCTTGAGATGTTAACACGCGTTCTTATTCTAGTAGAGGAAATCTAGATTCCTCCCATTTTTTAAGAGCAATTAGTGTTTTGTTGAGGCAAGAAAGGGGAGAGAGGAAGGATCAGATCTCCAGAACTTCGTGGTTACAATTGACCTCACCCATCGAAGTTCCCTTCATCGGAAAGTTCATAAACTCTCATTTAAAAAGAGATTAAAATAGCAATTATAAATGGCAAAAAGCATCAACCAGAATGATTACCACTCCAAAAGCTTCTCCCAAACTTCTTGCGGAACTAATGCATAATCACGCCCTTCTTCGAGAGTTCTAAGAAGCTGCGGATCATCATCCTTATTATCCTTTCCATTTGCAATTATATCAGAGTTATCAATTGGTCCAGGCCTAGCTCCTGAATCTGTCGATATCAAGGACTCGGATTCAAATAGAGAAGCACCATCTACTTGCAATGTGTATCTTTCCCAGACACTGAACCACCTGCACAAGGCATCAAGAGTTACAGCTATACCAGGATTTCTACAAACAGAAAAATTTCATTAACTGCGCCACAGGCCAGATATACTCAGCCTCATGTCCGAGTATCACAGACAAGAAATTTGATATCTAGCACAACAAGGAAAAAGTATTTCATCAAACAGCCACATCAAAGCTGAAAAGACAGATATTAATGTAACCATATTTCAGCAAATTAAGCACAATCATCAAATTTAATTAAATAAAATATCCACCAATTTGATTCAAAGCATGTCTAAGTTCAGAAAGTGGAACTGCTTTGCCAGATACAGAATCTTAAAAAAGCAACATTTTAGTTTTACAAGCACCAAGTGACGATACAGAAAAAAGCATATCATATTGAAGGAGAAATTTTTTGATGATTAATCTGAGCTTTTGTTAGCTATGCTATTAATCCATACTGTTTCAGAGTTGAAGTTGAAAGTCCAATGAAGTAATGATCAAAAAACAGCTTCAACGGCAATTGCATATTCGAGGTTGGCCAGTAATTCTCTGTTGCAAAACTTATTTCTTCAACTCCCATCCCATGGAAATGTTGTACAGTGTTACACAGAGAACGAACACCGGGACAGAGGAGTCAAAATCATAAAATACAAAGAGAAGTCCCAAGTTCCTAAACAGTTCCAGCATTCCATAGAGAAACCAAATACACATCACTATAGATACGAGATATGCATATCCATAATTGCATATTGAATAGATTGGATCTCCTCTCGACTAAAACTAATATATGACAACAGTTTTGGAACGAGAATAACTCGTTTCGGATCTCCTTATTGATACAAACTATGATATAACTCAAATGCTAGCAATAAGTATATAAATAGACTAATAAATAAAAGTGAGGAACTAAAACAAAAGAAAAATAATTAGATATACCTCAAACAAAAAAGTTAACTTAAATCAGTTACCTTTTAGATATAACATAGTACAAATTGCCTTCGCGCAAACTAGTCTCAGCTTTAGCGGTCAAATCCTGAACAATCCTCCTCTCTTCCTCGGGCTTGCATGGTAAGTCTATCGATCCATTCTCCATCATGTAATTGTACCCAGACGAATCCGGAATCGTCATGATCTAATTAATTATAAAATTCCACACCACATCCAAATAAACGAAGCTTAGAAATCAAATCATTCACTACAAATAACTGAAAAAAATCCAACTAGAAATTTTCAGAAATGAACGAACCGCAGATCGGAGAATTTTCCAGAGAGAATGTAATGAATGAAGAAATATAAAAATAATCGTCCGCAGGGAGATAAGTATAGCAATGGGTAGAGACTTGAGGAACCCTAGATTTCTAGTTTCTCGCTTTGAATCTTTGATCGAAATAGATAGAGAAAATCGAGAGAAAAGCGTTTTCAGAGTCTTTTGTCCGATTTTCAACTCTCCGTCCGTTCATTTCATGGTGGTGGCTTTTTAAAGCTAAGATAAATTGCGCGTTAAGTCTCTAGTCTTTGACCTTTATTTTTTTTATTTTTTCCTTTTTTTAAACCTAAAACAAACTTTTCTATGGCTCCTTCCGTGAAAAGGATGGTTCCGTGCATCGTTACGATTCACTAAACTTACGTCTTGAATAATAATTGGCACAATTCTTATGGACAGTCTCCATCCAAAATGATTTAGCCATGTACAGTTCATTCAAATCGAACATCAATAAAGATGAATTTTGTCAATTAATGAAATGTTGAGAGTAATGATGTCGAGAAAAAAAATTGGCTGCAAATATGCAACTATAGTCAAAGAATGGGGACTAAAATTGTAATTTGTACCCACCTTTTTTGACGGATTTAATATCTTAATTAATGTCAGATTAGGAAAATAAAATGGATTATGTGTAACTTTATAGCGGGGAAATCACTAAATTGTGATTATTATGTGTATTTTTAGAAATCATGTGTGGAGTAGAATATGGGTATGGGTCAAATAATAAATCAAAATATTCGGGTAATGAATCTTTAGCTCCTGTTTGGCTCCCATTATGTGAAAAAATTAATGGGTGGAATAATATTTTTTTTAAATGAGTAGTTGAAAAAAAAAAGAAAAGTTTTCGATTTATGTGTAATATTATTTTATGAAAGATTGTATGGTTGAAAATATGAGAGAGAAAAATAAAATGTAATGGAATGAAAATTAATGGGGGCCAAAAATAATTGAAAAATAATTAATTATTCGGAAAGGAAAAATAATTGAAAAATTAGTGTTGAAAATATCAGCATGTTCAAAAGACTCTATTTCTAAATAGCATATTTTATTATTTGGAGAACATTTATAAATTTAGAGTTACAATTTTGAAGTGTTCCAACAAAATCTTTATATTTAATACTTAATTTTACTATTTTCAAAAAATGTTTATTATATTTCTCTATTTTTTATTTTAGCCCTCATTTGAGTCTCCATTAAATTTATAATACATTTCTCTCTCTTAATTTTAATGACAAATTTTACAATAAAATAATATTACACATAAATCAAAATTTTTTCATTCTTTTTTTATTACACATTCTCCAAAAAAATACTATTTCAAAATTTAAAAGTCGTTTTAATAGGGGCCAAACGGGAAATTGATTAGATTTTCTCCAAATTATTTTATTGTTTTCTTATATTAAAATTAAAACACTCTGAATGCATCTAATTATAGAGTGAGTTTGTCTCTCAAACTCACTTTTTAAATTAAAATATTAATTTAAAAAATTTTTTAGAACATAATTTCAAGGGTTAACTCTTTAGAATATATCATATTTAAAAAGTTTCTTGGAGATGTTCTCAAAACAAAATTTGTAATTTAGTGGCTGTGGTTTATTGGATTTAATGGGTAGGCCAAATTGGAATGGTCCATGGGCCCTATCTCAAACTAACAAATGGGCCCTTACAACTAATAGGCCCGTTTCAATATTTTTTTGGCCTTTTCATTTTTATTTTCGTTAAATTGAAGAGGTGGTAAGTGACACATGGGCATATGCCGCGTAGAATATTCCCAACCCAAGTTACAAGCATGCACAAAGAAACCAAAAATGAATGTTCAAGAAGAATATAGAACGTGAATGTCCCAGGAGAAGCATCTACAATGCTGCACTCCTCACTTCATCCCCCTGAGGTTTGTTCCTTTTGAGAGCGTCAAGAATTTGATACTTACCTTACGGCTCACTTGCATAATCCTTTTATTTGAAGAATTTGCATGTGAAAATGAGTGAAAGCCACCTTTTATTTGAAGAATTGGCATTTGAAAATGAGTGAGAGCCAAAACAAAAAAAAAAAAAAATGAAGAGAGAGAGAGTTCTAAAAAATGGAGACAAATAAGAACAATATACATAAGAAAGAGAATAAATTACTATAAGATTTTTCAACCTTTCACACGATGTGATTACGATTCTCAACCTTCAAAAGTGAGATTTTAGACGACATTTTATTTATATGAGTCAATTTAGATCCCAAATGATTGAAAAATAACCAACGCAAACTTTAAAATCCCACACAATTTTAAAATGAGAAGAACTAGGGAGAAAGATTGCCAAACTACTTAGTGTTTATCTCAGTGTGCAATTTTAATATCTAAATAGACGATTTTATTCGCACGTTGAAAACAATTTATAGATTAAAATCATTAGGGATCCAAAATTTTGCTTTAGATGTTGGATCATATAATCATACTACGTAAAAGGTTCAAAAGCCCAACCTTAATTTATCCAATAAATAAAATGCCTACTACTATTAATTGTTTACTTCAAATAAATTTGGACATTATTGTATGCAGACTATGGCCCTATTTGAGAATTTTTTTTTTTTTTTTTTGGAGAAAATATGTTTTGCAATAGTGATTTTTTGAAGAATGTGTAGTTAAAAAATATGAAATTTTTTTATGTTTACTTGTAAAATTATTTTATGGAAGAATGTGTAGTCGAAAATGAGTTTTGAAAAAAATGGAGTTCAAACATAGGCTAGATTCTTCCACTTGTTGGTCTAAACTAGGCAAAAACCCGATTAATTGCCCAACCTGATCAACTTGAGTCGATTTGGGTGGGCTCTTTTTTATTTTATTATTTATAAAACAAAACACCGACACAATCCTAGTGTATTTTTAGGCGACACCAGAAAATGTTGATGGGGGTTTGGATTTCCCAACCTTGTATATAAATACACCATGACTTTTGGTGACTTTTACGGTTGTGACCTACCATCACAGGCGGATCCAGGCCCGGAGCCCGTGCTCACCCAAGCCCAGATGCAGTCAATTTTTATTATTATTATTATTATTATTTTTTTTTTTTTTTTTT